TCTATTAATGAATACATGTCGTCGTTAAATTTGACTGAAGGACGCACGTATTTAAGTTCATACAGTACGTGTAAATCCGACTCCAATACCGACTTTGTGGCACAACTCCATACTCCTAAGTTCTTGAACACTATCAAGCGTTCTGGAACGCCGAACCATGAATTGAATTTGAAGGTCGGAACTCCAGTTATGTTGTTGCGGAATATGGATCACTCAATGGGACTCTACAATGGTACACGTTTGGTTGTGACTAAACTCTCCAATCATGTTCTCGAGTGTAAAATTCTTACTGGCGATCATGCATGTGATAAAGTTTGATACCTCGGATGACAATAACTCCTTCTGATGTTAGAGTACCATTCAAATTTCAAAGAAGGCACTTCTCCATTATGGTTTCGTACGCAATGACTATAAACAAGAGTCAAGGTCAATCATTATCGCATGTTGGCTTATTCTTGAAGAAACCAGTTTTTAGTCATGGCCAGTTATATGTCGTTGTCTCCCGTGTTACTAACAGAAAGGGTCTGAAAATTTTAATTTGTGGAGAAGAAGGTTTGAAAGAAAATCAAACCAATAATGTTGTGTATAGAGAAGTGTTTAATAATATATGATTTTGGTTTATATTTTGTATTCCTCTATCCTCTTTCTATTGTAATTAAATTATTAATTTATAAAAAAATATTTAAAATAAAATTTAAAAAGAAAAGGTTTGAGGAAATAACCCCGCCGTGCTGCGCACGGGTACCATACTAGTAGTAATAGATATACGTTGTAATTTTACAAGTTATTTGTATGTACATAATATTAAATTTATAACTTGAGAATGGTATTATATCATGTAACTTCCATATATCATTTACTGTAAAATATAATTATTAATTTTAATAATAACACATATACGATACAATGAAAAATATAGTTATTACTCAATTAATATAAAATTTAATATTTTTGTCTTAATTAACCCAAAAAAAGTCCAATGAATTATTTTCATTCATAATAATACTAATAATAATATTAATGATGATAATAATAATAATAATAATAATAATAATATTGGATTGTAACGGTTATTATAATAGCGTCCCCAATTTCCCGTTTTAGGGTTTGGGGAGGGGTTCGATTTCTGGCCTTTTGGCCTCTCCGGATCCTCGCTCGGTGCTTGGTGGTCAGCGATTGAAGGGTGGGTGTGGATTCTTGGCCCGTGGTCACCGTTCGGGTGGTTGTGGTTCTTTGGAGTCGCGGACACCGGAGATCGTTTGACGGGGCTTGGGTGCTGGCCGGGCAGTTCTGGCTTTGGTTGGGCCGGGTTTCTTCGGGCTGGTTATTGGCTGGTTTGGGTTGCTTGGGCTGGGCCGAGCTGGGCCTTGCTGGGCTGTTGGTCTGGTTTCTTTCCCCGGGCGCCGGAGGTGTTGTCCGTCTGGATGAAGGTTCGGTCCGTCGGCTCTTGATTCAGTTAGGCGTTCTCTTGCAGTTTCTGGGTCAGGATCCTGGACTGATTCCTTGCCGCTGTTGTGCTCGATGTGGCTTCTGCTGTGGGAAGGACTCCCATTTTTTTTTTTATTTGTTTTGCGATTGCTTGAGTCTGTGTATTTAAGTATTTTTGGTCTGGGCTCTTTGCCTGAGTTAGTTTGTGTTTTTTGGTCTTGTTTTTTAGGTTTGGGCGTTGGCCCCGGTTCTGATTCCCCTGTGAGGGGCGTTTCTATTCTCCCGTGGGGAGCGTTCGTAGTTGGCGTGTTGGTGTTTTTTTAGTTTTTTAGTTGTGTGTAGTGTGTCCTCTATTCTAGCGTGGCTAGTGAGGTTCTAGGCGGTCTTTCGATCCGTCCTCTCAGTTTTTAGTTCTTGGTTGTATTATTCAGCCTTGGGCTGCTTGTTTTGCACAATTGTGCGTTTTGATATATAATACCTCTATTGTTTCAGAAAAAAAAAAAACGGTTATTATAATAAGAAAGCGCAATGTAGATAAATTTATTAGGTTTTACTTATGATATTTTATTTAATGATTAGTTAGCAATAGTATATATATATAGATATATCAAATCCTAGTGTTTACTTTATTTCGTTGATTCTGAGTTTATAGCGGGTAGTATGGGATTTTTGGTGTTTCGGAGCGATCCATGCTTTGTAACTGTATATGTTAAATTTTGGTGCTTCGCAATTTTTACGTGTCACTCTGTGATGTTTCATAGTTGTCCGTGTAACCAACAAGGGTTGGCTCAAGTAGTAAACAACTTGATGTCGCTTAAACAATATCTCGGGTTCGAGTCATTGTGAATGCAGAAAACCCTTGTTGGGAGACTCACCCACCATTGCCATGTGTGCGACCCGGGTCGACCAACAGATAGTCGGGACAAAGCTCCGAAGATACCGTGGCTGGCTAAAAAAAAAAAATAGTTGTCTGTGTAAACTTGGACTTTTATCCATATCAATTAGAGTCCTAACAAGCATGAATATTTTAAGCTACATTTGTAGATAATATAAGCATGTCTAATGGGCTGGATCCTCCTTTACTGTCCTGCAAAACATAAATAGAATTGATTTGCCATTCGGCACTTGCTTCAATCTTTCAAATTATGCATGTTGTTACGTTTAAATCCAGGTATTGTAGACATTGCCTGTACAAAGGGAATGGACTGTTAGGATCAATCATGTTCATAGGGAAGCCAATTTCGCGGCTCGACTCCTGACGGTAGCATGGGACACGTGGAATCCCGTGTGAATCAGCAAGGACCACCTTGTAAGGCTAAATACTCCTGGGTGACCGATAGCGAAGTAGTACCGTGAGTTGTAGATTCTTATCCAAGACTTGTATCATTTGATGATGCCATGTGAATCGCTAGAAACATGTGAAGTGCGTTTAGCTGCAGTTGGTTGAGGCATGCAAAGATCTAGCTAGCGGTGAGGGGCGGGAACGTGAATACCAGCCCATTCAATGCTAGTCATAATGAATATAAGGTCCTCAAAAATTTGTCATCTGTTGTTTTGAATGGTATGGTTTTCAGTTATTTCATTTGTTACTTTATAATTATACATAAAAAATTGTTTTAGTTTTAAAAGTAATTCAAATTCAGAAGTTGTTTAAATATATGTTTTAACTAATTTTTGTAACAGGTAAACATAATCGTCATAGAATTGCATTGCATAATGCTGGTAATAATGCACCAGAAAACATTGTTATTGATCCCACAAGTGAAGACGACCTTAAAACAAATATTGTAATGGTTAGTTATATGTTGTTGTCTCTCGTATCACTAATCAAAATTTTTTTAAAATCTTAATTTTTGGGGAAGATGATGTGCCAAATAATCAAACCAATAATGTTGTATATAGAGAAGTGTTCAATAATATATGATTTTTTCAGTTTAATTATATGTTTATATGTCTATTCTTATGATCGCTTCATTATTACACAATTTATATACAAAATTACCTTCTAAAAAGCACATAGATTATGGCATGCACCGGTCCTCCTGAGGGGCTAGGTTGTGGCTTTGACAACCTCGTTGTTGTAGTTGGGGTGTAAGAGAGTGGACTCTCCCCTTGTCCCCTTTGCCACTGGTGCGTGGGTCAATGGGACGGTCGGTGTGACGAGCCCAGGTCCGAGTGTGGGCTGGGCTCTCGGTAGTGGTGGTGTGGTGGGGGGTGTCTCGGTTTCCTCCGGATGAGGGTGGGTTGGTCGCCTAGGCGCTAGCTCTAGGGTTTAGTTCTAGTTAGGCGAGAGTTGAAGTTTTTGGTTATGAGGCTTGGGGCTAGTTTCTGTCCGTATGGATAATCGGCCATATATGTCGTTGTCGTGGTTGCGTGGCATGTGTTTTTCCGACTGTGAGAAGGGCTTTTAGTATATTTCATTTAGGTTGTGTTTGTTATTTGTACTTGTCTCGTGTGTTTTGTTTGGTGTTGTAGCGTGTTTCTCATTTGTTTCTTCGTGTTTTTGTGTTTGTGGTATTATCCTGTAGTGGAGTGTGTAATCTCCCGCAGGGGAGTTTTTATTCTTCAGTTGTGGAGTTTTTAGCGGTTTTGCTATGGAGCCATCCATAGTTATCCACAAATAGTGTATTGACACGTGCGCTAAAACAAATACACATTCGACACGTGTCAATACATTATGGATAGCTCCATAAGGGAACTATCTGATAGCTCCATAAGGAAACCATCTGATAGCTCCATAACATTTCTGGAGTTTTAAGTTTAGTTTTGTCTCTCGCTTGTGGGTTGTGTTTTAGGTTAGCTCAAGGCCATTTGCATATCTATCCTCCTACTAGATTCCACTGAATAGATGTCTTATTCATGCGTCGGGCTATATTATAGTTGTAATTATGTGTTGTTTTTGCTATAAATCTTCTATTCGGCTCAAGAGCTGCCTTGTTCGTCCGTTGGACTATTTTTTAGTTGTAATTATGTGTTATTGTTTCTATAAAATTTATATTTTTCGAAAAGAAAAACTCATAACATTTATTTTTTATTTAATTTTTTAACAAAGAATTTCTAAATTATTTCTTAAATCTTTAATACATTTTTCACATTTTAAATTGTAAATTATGTGTTATTGACTAAAAGCTTTTCAAAGTACAACAACAATCACAACACATATCATCGAGTGACATCAGGCAAGACCTCGACGACACGTATGTTCTTATGCAAGAAAAATATTTGTACTGCAGATTGCCACACACTTGACACTACACTACACCCAACCTACCCAACAATATATTCATTTACTTTATTTTCTCTTTTTTGCGGATAAAAAGGCGAAATTTTAGTTTAGCGAAATTCAAATTGTGCAAATCATAAACTGTTCCCAATCATGGATTTTGATACTCCCAGCTTAGACCTCAGCAACAATGGCGAATTCACCACCACGCGCAGCTTCTAGTGAACAAAAGAGGGAGTTGGAAATTTCCGAAACCCTAATTTTTCCTTTGCTTGCTGGCTTCAAATTGCATTATTGGGACTTTGATTTGGATATAATCGACCATTGATGTGAAGTTGAAAACTGGGACATGGACAGATCGAGATCTAAACGGTACTATTACGAGCAGGACTATGAATCCGAAACCTTACACTCACGGAGCAAGCCGCGCTACGGCGGAGGCGGCGGCGGCGGTGGAGGCGGAGGAGGAGGAGGGGGTCACCATTATGCTTCGAACTACCACCACCGGCGCTCCTCGTCCTCCTCCTCCGGTGGCGGCGGCGGCGGCGGGAGGAAAATGCAGGAGCCATCTATGATGGTGACTACTAGCTACCGGATTCTGTGCCACGACGTGAAGGCCGGCGGGGTGATTGGGAAATCCGGCAGCATAATCAAAGCAATAAGGCAGCACACCGGAGCTTTCATCAACGTCCACGAGCTGATTCCAGGGGATGAGGAGAGGATTATCGAGATTTCCGATGCCCGGCGGCGGGATCCGGAGGGTCGAATGCCTTCCTTCTCCCCTGCGCAGGAGGCCCTGATGTTGATACACGACAGGATTATGGAGAGTGAGATGGATGAACATGGTGAGTATGGAGGCAGGGGAAGTGGTGGTAATAATGGCGGTCGGGTGGTGACGAGGCTGGTGGTCTCAAGGATGCACGTTGGTTGTTTGATGGGGAAAGGAGGGAAGATAATCGAGCAGATGAGGATCGAGACCAGAACCCATATCAGGATTTTGCCCAGAGACCATAATTTGCCGCGTTGTGTGGCCATGTCGGAGGAGATAGTTCAGGTTTGCTAATTTTGTACCTTCTTCTTTGGAGCTTTTGATAATGGAAGTTTTAAAGCTTAGTCGAATTTTGTGAACCCTGAACTTATTTGACTATGTTGGGGAGTTTGCTTTACGAGTTTTGAGATTTGTGAGTTAATATGGTTGAGATATGGATGACACACTTAACAAGTTACAAGCTAAATTGGGTTCTGAAATAAGATGCCATTACTCTCATGTAGTAGATTTAATAGTTTATGATAATGGGAGATAGTTCATATGTTCAAAGGCTCGACTCGTAGGGAGACAAAGTATATAGTGAGGTTATGCTGGTAACATTAACTGGATTTGATGACCTATGCTGCAAAAGTAACTAAAACTGACTAACTGGTCGTGTGGTGTATTCTAGTCCTATTATCTTTCGGCTCTGAGTGCATAAGCTTTCCAGCTTCTTGTATTGCAAGCTATCATTGGTGCATGTTTTCACTATCATTATATATTTCGAAATTTGCATGGTTTGCTTATTTTCATTACTCATTCAAGTTCATCTGATGTGATGTCACTATTAAAGTGATGTCTTCAGTTGGTTTGCAACTCTTTTATGGATGTGGTGTATATGTGAAGGAAAAGTTCTTCAAAGTTCTAGATCTTTTTTTTT